AGAAATATTTGTTAGCTTTAAAAAGTCTGGAAAGCATAATTAAGAGTGAAAAAGCAGAGAAAAAAAGACTCACACAGATAGTATTACCTAATAAATGTTAATGAGTTACTATTGTAGCATAATTCCAAAATATTTCTTCAGGGCTTACTGTAACTATGAAGCTTAAAATTTAACTTGTCAACTTTATAAAATTTTTTATCAATAATGTTTAATTCAATGCCTGCTGTATTCAGACTACTGCATCGATCCCTTTTATTCTCCAAAGTGCTTTGATGACATTTTCGGCCATTAGTACCTGAAGATATCTAATTGTAAAATGGTACAGGATAGCATGCTTTTAAACCCTTTCAAGCACATGTTGTTACATCAATTGCAACAACATGTTGCAATTTTTTTTTTTGGGGGGGGGAAGTATTTTAGGGAAGCCTCTACAGGGTGTTCAGGGTCTCACTACTAAATCAGCCTCACTACTAGATCAGACTCGTAGTGATCAACCTGCTTACAGCCTCCCAAGAGCTGGGATTACAGGCCCGCGCCACCACACCCAGTCTCAATTGCTGTCTCAGTGCGCCCCTGTGGTGGGGCCGGCATGGTAGGCCCGGAGATGGAACGCCCGGCCCCTGCTCCTGCTTCAAAATTCTATTCTTCTAGCTGCATTTGTCCCACTAGTGATAAGAGACCACAAAAAAAAAAAAAAAAAAAATAGTCCCCTGCTTTTGAATTCTCATTTTGTAAGAATCTGCATTTAATATCTGAGACTACAAGGTACAGCAAAATTAAATCCTACAATCTGTATCTTAGCAAATACTGCAAAATCCCAAACTATGTTATGGATATGGTCTTTGTACTGTATTAAGATATTTTTTTTTTTAGATTTTAAAAAAGATAACATGTTGCTCTTTTTGATAATTATATTAATCTTTTCTATAGTCCAGAGTAGGACAAGAAGCATAAAGGATTTTCTGTAAGGTGCAAGGTTTGAAGCTATATCTTGAGGTAAACTTGGACTATTCTTTCAACCAGAAAGTTCAGTTTGGTGAAAAATGAGTAGATTCAAAAGATACTAGAATCATAAAATTATCCCTAATAGAGAGGGTAAAACCTATCCGAAAGTTTGACAAGTGAAGACGTGTAAAAGTGAGGATGTTTGTTTGAGAACACAGAACTTATCTGCGGTAGGGAGCAGGTTAGGTTGTCGATCTTGTGCTTTGAAGTCTTGAGTGATTTTCTACATTTTGCTGCCCAAATCAGCCTGGATAGGCCAGCTTATTCACAATTATTTAAGCACCTATGCATGTACATTTAGATTGGAGAGTTTAGGTTGAAATATCTGCTTTCTAAAATTTTTAGGATTCTATATTACTGGAGCATTTTGAACCAACAATAATTCTAATAAATGTTGTTCAAAGTGTGTCATCTTACCAAGTTTAGTACTTTTCTTTATCTCTCAGTATGCTAATCTTTAATATGACTATCCTAAGGAATAAATTATAACTACTATTAGTTCTCTAGATCTAACCAGAAAATTTGGCCAATAGCAAAGAGATTCTAGCTTATAAAGTCTGGAAGTTACTTAACATCTTTAGGCCTGTTTTCCTCATCAGAAAATTGAGGATGATCTTAGAAGCTACTGATAATGTTTCAGTAAGGATTAAATGGATTAATATATGCATAGTTATTATAATAGTAGTACTGAATAAATTGTCTGTATTATTTTGTTTTGATCCAAAGTCTCATTGTTAACTGTTTGTTAAATATTATTGACTATGTAAGATCAAAATAGGATTCAGATCAGCTATATATATTTCATATAAAACATTTAAATAATAACATTGCTTTTCTTCTGTTATGAAATGTTTTTGAAGCATAGCACAAGGATAAGGGAGTAAGACGTTAAAATGGAATGAACTATCTCCATTGTTAGTTGAGTCTCTTTTTTTCAAAAACTTTATTCACATATGCTTTATACTGCTGTAAAAATATGTCACAATTTTCTGTCCTGAAAATTTTTTTAAAATTTTTTTGTTGGAACTGAGGATTGAACTCAGGCCGTTTTGCTTGCCAGGGAAGCGCTTATTCCACTGAGCCATCTCCCTGGCCCCTGTCCTGACAAATTTTTAAATGATCACTTTTAGTAACTGAATATAACTTTATTTGTAACATGATTCTGACACAAAATTTGACTCCTTAGTTTTCTGGTTTAGATTCTAAAGAACTTAGGAGGACAAGAAAGTAGCACAAAGCAGGTAGCTTTCATTTTCTTTCTTCCCTCACACCACCCCAGTTTAGGAAAGCTAAGACTGGAGAGTATGCTGGAAGATTTGGGGCCCCACACAAAAACATTTGAGCACAGCTGCCCTTTCACTGAGTGCTGGTTGGCCCTACGTGAAGAAAGATGCTTGCTTTCTTTCACTTTTTGCCTAAAGCAGGGGAACAGAGTGGTGAGTATAGCACCTAGGGAGATGGGTACATACTTCTCTGTGCCTTTTGGTTGGCAAATGATAGGCTGGTTGGTCTCCTCTTTTTTTTGAAGCCACTACAGGCGAGTGATGTACTAGCATGCTGCTCTGATGTTGGCGAATGGAGCTGGTTTCTTTAGAGCTTGTACTACCAGATTTGTATTGGATCAAAAAAAAAAAAAAAGTGTGTATAGTGAGCCAGAGTTCGGCTACATGTAGGAATCATTTGTTACATCCTGTCCTTTCCAAGAGGGCTGTCTAGTGTCAAATAAGAGCTTGACAGAAGAGGCCGAGGCCAAAAAGAGCACAGCCAGTTGAGACACTGTAGTGGAGTTAGGATATCTCTGATAGTCCTACAGAGACTTCCAAAGCTCTCATCTGTCGGACCCAGGGACCCCAGTGCCAGAAGGAGTCATTTCTCCCTCTCCTGTGCTCATATTCTTCCTCCTGCGACAACACTGAGCCAGATGTTACAGTTAGGAAACTGGTACAGGATGTGTAAACCATAAGTCAGGAGAACAGAATCACCTGCCACCCTGACATAATGAGAAAGGGAAATAACACTAAGTCTTTATGATTAAAATAGACCTGACATATTAAGTTTTAACTGAATTTTTTTTTCAGTTTTACCTCAAAATTACCAAAAAGTCATGAACTTTGATTTGAATCTCATCTGAGAGATAAATAATAAGTTCCCTGTGTCAAATTAAGGGGACAATTCATATTGTTTTAGGATTATTTCACATGTTATGTGTATTGAATATAATTATTGTATTTTAGTTAATAATTTTCTCACTTTTATATACTTAGTTTGTGATAGTAAAATAATATAAATACTGCTTAGGTACAGGCAGGTTTACACATATTTCTGTCAGATTTTGTATCATCAGAGAAGGGGAAGCATCTTTATATATAAAGACAGACCGCTGGATTTTAAAGAAATTGTAATGTTTTATACTACCATTGCCTTTCCATAAATATTTTACATACCAAAGAACTAAAAATAAAACAAACTTCAAGACATTGGAAAGCAACTTGATTTTTATAACATTTATGAAACTATTGATTACAAAAGGGATGCAAACTCTTTTTTCAACTAACTATACATGAAGAAATGATAAAAATTATGTGAAGGTGGAGTTTTGGATATAGCTCAGTGGCGTAAGTACTGGCCTGGCAAGCAAGTGCAAGGTCCTAAATTTGATACCTGATATATATATATAAACTCTAAACTCTATAGAATTTTTGCATATATAAATACATACTCCTTTAGTATAGTGGAAAGGTGCATAAATATTTTAATAATTTATTTTTATTTACTTTTTGGCGGATCCAGGGATTGAACTCAGGCACTTTCACTTGCCAGGGAAGCACTTTTTCCACTGAGCTATCTCCCTGGCCCCTAATAATTTATTTTAAGGAAGATTAACTTTATAGTTTAACACATTTAAAGCTTATTAATGATCCTAAAGTCATTTGACTTTTATTAAGTACTGACATAAATACATCAGTTTCATCCTTGATTTAAATGAAGTTAATCATGAAAATGAAACTTTGAAATCTTAAATTAGCCTAAATAATGCTCTTTATAAGGATTAAAACTATAACTAACTTGAAGCATCATATTAGGTATAGCAACACATGTCATGATTTACAGCATGAGAGTTTAGTACCTTTTGCAACAATCTGAGAAAAGGGACATCTAATGAACAGATATGATTGTATAGTTTATTGTTAATCACAGGTGCTGTTTGTATTCATGATAGTCCCTGGATATGATTAAGCTGGAAAAGTATGTGAGCAAAAGAAAATAGCTGAAGAATTACAATATTTTATCTTACTGTAGCTACAGCAATTTTAATCCAAATGCTAGTCTGCTTTTTAATGCAGTCTATGTTTTCTAAAGAAAGTGATCATAATGGTAATTATAATACACAAGTAATTTTTAACATGAGATCTATAAGTAGCTTTACTATTACTACCTTTTCTTTATTACTTTTCAAAAGTGATACACAAGGACAGAGATTAGTGTCACCTAGAGTAGTGTCTGGTGTCTAATGTTCCTAGACTAAATGGGGAAGTGTTCTAAACAAACAAACAAACAAACCAGAAAATACTAGAATGACAAAACGTTCAGTTTTGGGTACTTGCATGTAGAAGTCTTCCTAAATCTCAGTACTTTCTTGGGAAATCAATGCTAGTTTCTGAGTAGTTTACTCTTGCTGATTCCTTAAGTAAAAGCTTAGGTGCACTTCACTAAGGCCTGGAAATTTTATCTGCTTTTTGTATTCTAAAATGTACTTTCAAAACTGATACAGTCTTTATGTAGAGATTTGTGCTTGTGAATGAAGTCAAGGGTGATTCTTGAGTAGAGTGAGTGTGACCTGCAGGGTCACCAGCGAAATGGAAATGAAATGCTATACTTTTCTTCTGTTTTGGAAGAGGAGAGCCGCATCAGCCAAGTTTTCCATCTGCGGGCCACTCAGTCCCCGCCACCATGAACTTGGTGGAGTCTCACCAGCTATCCCAAGACGTTCCTACCTGGATCAAGCTATATCCTGTGCGCTGGGTCAGTGCGCGGAGGGCTGCTTCCTTCTGGATGCCGCTCAATCCATCCCTGGATTTGTGATTTGATTCCATTGAGAGTGATTATCAGCAAAAAATCAGGGTAATTAGGGTTGCTCACTGAAACCAAGTTTAAGATAAATTAAGAAAATTATTGTTGCCTAGTCCAAATCGGTCCTTTTCATGAAAGACATCTGTAGGAAATATTCCCTATACATGAGTCATGAAATTTAGAGCAAGTAATAGCAACACACAAACAAGATTGGCTAATTGTACTCCATAAAGATGTTGTTTACTTAAATATTGAATTTAGATGAAATTGGAAAATCGAAACTCAGTAATGCTCATTCTCTAATTAAAATGCCGATCAGTAATTCTCAATCCAGTTACTCCAGAATGTTACTAAGAACTCAAACACCAATGAAGTCACATTAGATCTTATAAATGAAGGGGAAAGGTATTGTCATTAAGCGAAAGAACCTAAGAGAAGGAATAAAAGTTTTGAGACTGGGCTTCATTTATCTGTGTGTTACCCAAGAGAGTTACTCTCCAAACACAAATTTCTACAACAGATTGTGCTGATGACAGCGACAAAGAAGTCATCACGCAAACATGATGAAGTAATATGAAGTGGATTTTAAAGAAAACTGATCCTTCTGATCTTGTACCACATACCTCACCCACTTGAGTCCTTGAAACCCTTCGTAAAATCTAGGAAAAGTGGTGCATAGGTACATGTTGTGTGTGTAGTTACGAATATTATAAGCTCAGCATTTTGTTGTCTACACTTTTTGTTTTGGCAACATGATTTGCCTTTGCACAAGTGATGGTGCTCAGAACCATGAGTTCCTAGCTCAAGGACAAGAGCTGTTCTGAAGGCTCCAGGCCTGGGTGGCCCTCAGGCACCTGTGTCCCTAGGGCCAAGTGGATGTGGTACTGCGGGTTTAGATGTGCATGACTTGGGGAGCTTTTAGCCAGATTTTTACTCTGCCGAATGTGCCCAAGGAAGAGAAAATGTGATTTACAATGACTCAAGCCAAGTACAATTCCAGCATATTTGAGCATATGTTGTCTTGAAAACTTTCTATTGAATACATTAGATTTTTCTATACTGATTTCTGCTATTATCTAAAGAAACAATGAATAAAGCATTAACAATATTGGAATTGGGTTTGAATATTAGTGAAAGATACAAAAGGGAAGTTGCAGTGATCATTTCAGGAAAATGTGCCTCCAAGGTACCGCATTACTAAAATTACTACTACTTAAGTAATATAGTAATAAAATGTTACATCTAGCCATATCATTATTAATAGCCTTAGTAGTAGAAATCATAGCATTATTAATAGCAATAGCAATAAATGTTCTACTACAAAGGGATAGGAAGAAAGGCCTCCAAAATATAATTTAGAATGTAATACTTCAATGTAATTTAGAAAATCAAAGGAAAAAGATAGATTTTAGAAGGAGAATATTCATTAGATTTAGAAGGATATAATGGTGTCATCCAGTACATATAACCATGACCACTTTCGTCTACAACTTTTCCAATAATTTGGTTAATCTGGACCCAGACAAATTCAGTTTGCATCATCATCATCATCGTCATAGTTATTATTATTATTATCACTATTATTATTACTATTACTGAGACAAGGTCTTGCTCTGTATTTCGGGCTGGCCTTGAGCTCACTATGTAGCCCAGGGTGGCCTTGAACGTATGAGAATCCTCCGACTTCAGCCTCTCAAGTGCTGGGATTATAGGCTTGCACCACAGGACCAGCTTTATTCATTCTCTTAAGAAGTATTTACTCAGTCCTCTCTGTACGTCAGCCCTTTGTGCCTCCAGCTTTGGAGCTTATGTTTTATGGGAACTCTGTTAACTCCGTAAATTCATGTATTAGTTTTAATGCCTACACTTTGCAAAAGTGTTTTCTTAAAAAAAAATCTTGATTTTGTATCTTGTTAGGAAAAAATGAGAATTTCTTTCTGACAGAGGTGATTTGATATATAAATAGCAATTTAGGCTGGAACAAGTAGCTTTACTGATGCAGTTAGAGTTTCTACGATGCTACACAGCAAATCCTGTAAGACCCACACTCTGTCTCTGATCCCAAGCTTATGGCAAATGTAGTTAAAGAAATATCAATGAGACAACGTAAGTCCTCTTATGGCAGAAATATAAAACTATAGAAGTCATTCGTAAGGATTTACAAAAAGCAAGCAAGCAAACAAACTAGTTTTCAGACAATCTCTTGCACATTCCCCAAATTACTAAAATTGGTTTCTTCTCAGGGTGTACTCAAACTTCTCCCACTGAGCTAGTGTTAACTTAGAAGAGCAAGCAGCTGGGCAAGGTCTAATGGGGTTGCTATTTGAAGGCAAAGTCTATGGTCTTTGGCCAAGTGATAGACTTGCTGAACTTCATCCTTTCTATCCAAAAGATAACAGTTCACAGTGACCTGATGACTTTGCACTTGCAAACCTATCTTTAGTTTTGTTTAATAATTAGTGAAGTTGATTAAAGGCATTTTTGGTATTAGGAAGGTCTTTTGACCCCACAGGAATTTGCTCTAAAGTCATGGAAAAGATTTCTATAGCTTCTGAATGTAATCTCAACTCACTGGATATCAAGACAGGAAATTCAGAAGTCATTGCAACAGAGACTTAGGAGTTGAGTGTAGAGAACTTGCTAGCAGTGGTTTATCTTGAATCCCAGATAAATATTTTTAAGCAAGTTAAACTTTGGCTAAAAAGCTTGGTCAATTTGAAATGATGTTTTCATAGTACATTTTCTAATTTAGCAAGTTGTAAGTTCTTCACACATGAGACAATAGCACATTGAAAGAATAGTCACCAGTGTCATTTATTGAGGCAAAGAGTTCAAAGCCATACGTAGCCAGCTTTGAGACCCTTAGAATTAAATGAAAGCATGTGTGTTTATCACTTATTAATTTAAAACTATTTATCTGTCTTTCACAAATTTTCCTTTTTTTCAGGGGAAAGCACAAATGCAGTCCCCTATTATCACAAATCCTGCAGGCAAGTTTTCCACGTTTGGGACAATTGCAGGGTCAGCACCCCTGGAGGGCAATGGATGAGCTTTGCCCTGTGAACATCTCCTTTGTGAAATCATGTTACTTCCCCTGCCAGGTAAGTATAAGAACTTTCAAGTCCTTAGCATGACACACTGTCCTCGACTGGATTGTAGATTTTCCTTCAGTCTCCTAGCATTATTGTGCTTCCTCATACCTACAGCCTTTCTTCTTGGACTAGTTTTCCTTCCCATGTCTCTTAACTTTACTGTGTTAGCTGTACTAGTCCTTCCGATTTGACAAGACAGACTGTTCACTTCAATGTTTCCATAACATTCAAGAAAACAGAAATTTTGAGTCCTAATTGTAGTTTCTTTTCTTGATCAAAGGATAACATTAATTCTACCTCCTCCATCCTCCCAAGAAAGACTGTTACAGTTCTGTCCTGTTGCACCAGTGCTATGAGTCACTTCCATGTCTGTTTTTCTGACTGAATTGTGAGCTTACTAAGTGTTGGGACTATCTTGCATTCACTGATGTTTGCCAAAAAGGTAGTAACAAGATGTTATGCTAAACACTCAATAAATACTTGTGGAATAAATGAAAAGCTTTGAAATAGCAATTTTGTGAATTACAATGGCACGCAACTAATCAAAAGTAAGTTTAACCTGAACCTAATGTTCCAATACTTAGTACATGTTATTTCTCTTTTTTTTTCAAATCTATTTCTGAAAGTTACATCTTGGAGTACAATTGAACTACATGATAAATTGACTTTCACAGTTCTTTTGCATTTATGCATGTGCCATTATGTTTATGAGAGACAAAGTAAAAATTTTCAAGCACAAAGTGATTGAAAATAGAGTTGGAATTTAGACACACTTTTCCCTTTCTTTGTACATTTTTGGTTTTACATTTGCACGTTAGTGTCCATTAGCTCAAGAAAAGAACCTAGAATTGGCCTTCAAAATTTCTGTTTTCTTGAATGTTAGGGGAAGAGAGGAGGGAACAGTCCACCTTGACACTTAGCTGACCTGCCCAAAGAGTTCCCAGAGTTCACTGCCAGGCAATGTTGGAGCTCAATTCTGTATTCTGTACCAGGGGAACATGTGTCAAAGAAAGTGGCAGAAAAACAGATGGAAACCATGTCTTTATTTTGTACATAAAAATTGATTCCAAATGCAAAACCAATCTGGGAAAGACAACCAAGTGAGGATTTTAAGTAAGATTTGTTATCTGAAGTTGCTAGAAAGGAGGAAAAGTTTATTGTCACGGCAGAACACACATTGTGAACTAGGGAAACAATAAAAGGAAGGGAACAGATTTTGTTTTATTTTTTTAAAGTCTCAAAATAGTAAATTGGGCAAGACATGCGGCAACATTAAGAAAAGCACATACAATAAAGAGTGGTTACAGAGTCAAGAAAGACTAGGTTAGGCAGGTAAAAGCAAAAGTTACAGTTGTGATTGATAGGCAGAGAACAAAAAAGAGCTAAGGAGAATTAAATTGAATTTCTTGGTTAAAAATAATTAATGTAATTATCTTCAAATGTAGCAAAAAGGTCAATAAATATTAATTGAATATCTGCTGTCTACCTTTAGTAGATGTTGGAGTAGTCCTGTTATTATTGCATTAACTATATTATTTGTGTGATTTTATTTTTTTTGGAAGAGGGTGAACGAGATAACTGAATGGGGAGAAAGATATTTTTCTGACTTGGCAAACAGCGGTGTGATATTCTTTGTAACAGAGTGAAAACCTCTTGATAGGGCAGGAGCAAGGTGCCCAAGTGTTTAAGGCGGCCTGTT